CCATATGGATATATTATGTATGATATCCTCATTTTGTTCTCCTTAGTGAGGCAATCGGGAAGAGCCGTCACTCTCCTTCGTGAGTGTGACCGCTTCATAGCCGTGTTTTGCTTGGTCGAAGCACACCTAAATTAATTTGGGGTGATTTATAACCGCGTTATACTCCGGAGGACGGGTATGTTGTCAAGTTACTTATATGACTACGTATGTCGTGCTTCGTGTGTATTAATGCAGTCTAAATCGTCTCGCCTAATTAATGAGCATTTTCTCCTTTTTTAGCTTAAAAACCCATATGGACATGTTGTATATTATACCCCCACTTTGTCCTCCTTGGTGAGGCAATTGGGAAGAGCCGTCACTCTCCTTCGTGGGTGTGGCCGCTTCGTAACCGCGTTTTCCTTGGTCAAAATGCGTCTTAATTAATTCGGGGTGATTTCACATTGCATTGCGTTACGCAGGACGAGGTATATTGTCGCGTTGTTCTGCGACAGCGTGCCCCATCTTGCGCGCGCGTGATAACGTTGAAATCGTCTCACCAATTACAGGACCGTGACTCTATCTCACTGATCTGTGAGATGAGTTCAACGCCTACATAGATAAAAAGAAAATCTGATAGCTGCATTTTGCGAATGCATATTATTTGTTTCAGTTGAATTCCTTTCAAAGGCGATCAATACCAATGCGGTAGAAGGCCGCTCTGGCGAGGCTTATGCTTCCACTAAAGATCCTATGCTCATCCCGGCTATCCCCCAATTTGCTCCGGGTGCACCTGCAGAACTTCCCCAGCTAATACATAAAGGAGATCGTCGTACCTTATGGCAATTGATTACCGACACACCTCTGGTTGAAGACATCAACTCCACCCATCCTTTAAAGAAACCGGAATATTTATTCGGCGACTCTATTGAGGACCCGATTATTGTGCCCTTCAAAGCTGAACAATGGCTGCATAAGGATGAAGGGGGTTTTCTATATATCCCTCATATTCCTCGTCATCGTTCATTGTTCGAATTACGACAACAGGCTGTTAAACGAGAGATGCCATGGGATTTGACGGAGGAACGTGAACGCGTCCATTGCGGATACCTCACTCATCATTCCACTCCTGGTTCGAGTAACAGAAATCGTGTCACCGGATTGCATCCCGGTGTATTGGGATTGAATGACCCACCACGAGGCGAGCTATGTACGGTTGCTAACACTCTGAAGAATCACCTCGCAAGACTGGGGAGAGAGATGCCTACCAATAACCATAGATATTATGGTTGGGTTCATTCTTCTGATAAACTTTGGTGGTCTCGTCTAACTGGCTATGTCCTCGCTCGATGGGGTGAAGAATTGAAGGCCAGCGGGCTGTACGCGGCCGTTCGTGTCACTATGTATGGACTGACTATCAGCATTTCCCACTTCCTTGCGTTGATGGAGATTTACAATCCCGACACGAATACATTTCTGACGAAGCGCGGGGAATTGGTATTAGCTCTTCATGAGATGAACAAGGTTTTGGGTTTGCCAATAGGAAATATGATATACCAAGAATACTTCCCTTCGAATCGGGAGTTACGCCAGTTAAAGTTGACTACCCTGAATCGCCACGACACTTTGTGGGATCTCACCTGCCATTACTACATAGCTTTGGCAGGTGTCGAACCGGTATTGAAGAGGAACAAACCGCAAATCAGGTTGAAAAGATTTGCAAATTATTTACTCAGAAATCTAGAAAGCAATTCTGGTGAAGCGATTTGTGAGTTGAGGCCACTGAATTTGTCAGAGATTAATGAGTTAATCAAGAAGTTCGATGCTCATTCCTATACTACCGTCGGTATCGAGGATGATTTTCTCGCCGGGACCAAGTTTCACACTTTCTTATGGCATACAATGAAGCTTATTCTCCCGATGACTCTGTTGGATGGTTATCTTACCATTTGGTTAAAGAAATGCATAGTCCCATATCAACCCACGGATGTTCTGCCTGTGGAGGTACTTTATCCCATTGTTCAACTGGATTATCAAAAAAATCTTTCTCTTCTCTCGACAATGATCGCCGGTATCCACCGTGGTCTTCGCCAAATGATTAGTACTTTCACCCAGGAAGGAAGTAAACCAAGTGCTGTAATCCAAACGGCCAAGGTGGAGCTGCCTTACACGTACCTGATAATGTGGTTTGTTCTTCATCGCCCTGACATGATGGATGCGCCCAAGGTTGCGAACCAATCTGTCCCCTTGCTGCAGTTGATAGAAGATTGTAAATGGAAAGGACGGGGGTTCATGGACATCCAGAAACGGCTGCAAGACAATAAATGCTGGGTCGTCTCGACATGCTTCCCTTGATTTTTTGGGTCGTTATGGTGATTCATTGGTTGACGTAGAGAAGCGTGATACTGGTCGGACCTGCCTTGACACCGGATGCTTTGATTAGCTAGTGAACATTAGGCCAGGTTATATGATTTTTCGAGTAAAGAATTATTGTTACATAGAACCGTATCTACCGTGTAGGTTTGCACAGCAACTTGGGTATGATCAAATATATGTTGGGAACCCAAGTTCAGAACTCCGGACTCGCGGTGGCTTAGTAGATGGTGCCCGGGCGTGGCTGTGGAATGTTACGGGTTGTACTGGTGCAAGATTTAGCCTTCCGGTCGCTGAACGCCAATCAGAGCTGACTTTCTTATATTGCTGTTGGTTATTAGCGGCCAATGAACCTGTTTTAGTGAAGCCAATTAAGGAGTTGACGGCCGAGGCTGCAGCTCGGATCGCTACTCGACTGGTTTATGAAGCCGAGTATCAGAAAAGGAAAGGAAAAGAACCTGCTGGTCCTTCCCGTAATAGGGAACAAGAGGAGGATTCCTTTCCTTCCGGAGAAGAAGGATTAGATGTGAATGTCGCCAGTGGTAAGGATGGGGCGGCGGACAATGACGAAGAAGAACTCAGCACAGGTTTGTCAGAGTCCTTTTTCGAAGAGCTGTTGGATTTAGCAATTGCCAATCGAATTCATCGACTCAAGACCCAAAAAAGGTGGAAGGCTTTACCCACTTATCCTCACAAAATGTTTGTTGAAATTACAGGTGTAGGTTCTAAAGAGGGAGAGAAAGTGAGCGGTCATCCTACTGCCCGCGCTCGCTCTCGGACCGTAGCTCAGATAGATCCGATAGTTGAACCACGCCTTGACTCTGTGCTAAACAGGTCTATGGATCTTGACGAGGTGCGACCTTCTAAGTGTCAAAAGCTGGTTTTCAAACGGCATGTTGCCTCCTTAGTTCCCAACGTAGAACCACTCAACGATACATCTATTGCTGGGGAAGGTAACGCTTCAATTTTTTGCCGTCTTTTTGATTCCTTCTCCTGTTAGACTTAGTGAGTTTGCCATTTTTTTAGGGGAAGGTGACCAAAGTGAGGCCATTTATGATCCTCCTTCTCCCAATTTTGATATGTTTCAAGAGCCCGACCTTTCGCAGCAAGTACACAGAGCTGCTCTCGATGAGCCCGAAAATGCTGCAGTGGATATGACTGTTAAAACCGATGAAGGCACCGGGGTAGGACCTAGTTCATCTACGCCAGTCTTTGACCCAGGTACATCTAACACCGGTAGTACACCTTTCAAATGGCGATTTTGGGAATTGACAGATTCAGATTTCGTGCATCCGTTAATTGTTTCTATGCTTTTGGCTCTTTTAGAAAAACTCCAAGAAATAGGTGCCAATACTGGGATTGTGAACTCTGATGTCCCTAACAAAGGTAAATCCAACTCTAATTTGTTATGGATTCCCAATTTCTCTTTCTGTGTCTTAAAATTCAGACTCTTCCGTAGGTATCCTTATGTAGAATTCAGATAATAAGGAACCCTTTCAAGATATTACTTTTGAGATGTCGGACGACCATCCATCCGATCCGATATTAGATCCTTTGGTATCTAACGATATGTTGTTGGAGCAAGTTTGTCATGATACCGTCGAAGTATCTGCTGAGCCTGGTACCTCTGCACGTATAAATTTTACCCCTCTACAACAGTTATTACCCTCTCGAATTCACTTAACTATAGAGGAGTTTCACTTGTAGGACCAGTAATTGAGACTGGTACAAACATCAACGTTGAGATATTTGACGCTTCTAAGGGTCCCGATTTTTCGCAAGCGGCAGGAATTATTGCACAAGATCATTCGTCGATTACTCCGACTCATCTTCCACTCTTAACAGTTGAGATGACCATCGCAGGTGTGGGGACTAATCCGATTGAACAAGTCGTCGGACCAACCGAAAAAGTTGATACACCGACGGCCATTGCTTTTGTAGCGCCTTCACCAGTTCATGAGGCCAGGCAGATGGAATCAAGTATTGGAACTCCAGCTGAGGGAACTTCCGTCGGTACTGGTAAGCTTCCCTTGAAACTTAGAGATATTCGAGTTAGTATTCTGAAATATTTGATTCCTATTTTTCTTACAGAGATTCCATCCCAACTTCACGATCTTGTCAAAGCGCTATTTTTAGAGGATGATCCAAACCAGATTGTCCTTTGTATAGAAGTTAGTAGCTTTTTTACCTTCGTGGGCAAGGTGATTGACAAACTTCTCCATAGCGGGACATCTTTTCGTCAATTCAGGCCACTCCTTGATCTCAGATTAGCCTTAATAGAGAAAATCAGATCGCTACGCTTGGTGCAAGCTATCACTGATGACTTGAATTATCTGGAGCATGGTTTTCAAAAACTCCGAGAGGTTCGAGATACAAGTGCTCCTTCATATATAGCTGCTCAGATGGAATCTCGATTGCGAACGTGGCACGACACCCAGGCATCGGTTGGACCTGAGGTCCAAATGCGTCAAAGTAAAGTGGAACAGATGAAGGCCGTCCTTGACGACAAGTTACAAATTCTGCACAATATCAAGTCCTCCCTTGCATCAAGTGCTGGCAAGATAGCGTGACTTAAACATGAGCTTCAAGCAGAAGAAGAGGCTTGGGATATTTTAGTAGTGGCAAGGGTTGACGAAGAGCGCGGTCATGAGATGGTGTCTAAGGAGTTGGAACTCTCGGAACAAGAGCTGACCAAGGCGAAAGAAGAGGCTGCGGGGATGTTAGCTGCTAACGAAGAATCCATGAAGGCTACGTTGAAGGATGAGCTCGAGCAAGCTTATGTGGAAGAGTTGTCGAAGTTAGAGCAACAAGTTCTTAGCCATAAGCTTCATGTAGATTGACCGTGACTTTTGTACCTGCAAACTCAATTTTCATTAATAGAAGATATTTCTCTTTTTTTATTATACTTTTTTTAGTATGATGTCCTATTCTGTTTGGAATAATCAACCATAATATTTATAGGATTTTTGGCAAACCCTCAGCCATCAACGGGTTTGATGTGCCTTTACCGATTACCGTTTGAATCGGGCTAGCATGTGGATTGTTTTGGTCCGTTCCGCATGTAACATTGTGCTAAGAGTATTAATTCACTTAGACTTGATGCTATGACTTTGAATACATAGACTTCATCATTTCTTATGGGAATATGGCACCCAGCAATGCGTGTTAGGCGCTGACTTAGGATTTTTGGCAAACTCCCAGCCTTTAACGGGTTTGATGTGTCTTTACCGATTACCGTTTGCATCGGGCTAGCATGTGAATTATTAAAACCCGTTTCACATGTAACATTGTGCTAAGAGAGTTAATTCTCCTAGACTTGGTGCTATGATTTTGAATACATAGACTTTACTATTTCTTACGGGAATATGGCACCCGGCAATGCGTATTATGCGCTGACTCATCCCTACTTAGAATTCGGGATAAAAGTCCCCAGACTTAGATTCTGGTGTCTTTTTCACTCGGCGAAAGACTAAACCGGCAACGCGTGTTATGTGTAGGCTTATCTCTATTTAGGAGTCGAGATAAAATTCCCCGTGCATGAAGTGCGCGGATTTGAAGTTGAGAATTGCGTCTTTTCTCAGGGTAAAGACAAACCTGATGCTGGAGAGGAAGAATTTTATATTGTCCCCAGGTCTTGTTTAGGGTAAAGACGAACCTAAAAAATGGAAGAGGAAGAATTTTATATTCTATCTCCCAACACTGAAGAGGGAGAATTTTATATTCTATCTCCAGTTGGAAAGGAAACTCGAGGTGGGATCTCCACCCCCAGAATCCGAAAAGATAAAACTAGGAGTGGGATCTCCACTCCGAGAATCGGAAAGATTCAAGCAACCCTAACTTTTATAGGATTGGTTGCTTTATCCAAGAAAAGAGTTCCTCGTTTATTAAGGGGAAATTCTGATTTCGACCCTAACTTTTATAGGTTTGGCTGAAAAGAAAAAGATGAAAGTCTTTCGTTTATCGAAAGGGATGACTCGATCCGTCCTAACTACATGCAGGTTTGACTAAGTGAGGTTGGAGACAATCCTAACTTTTATAGCTTTGATTGCTCAAATTGAAAGTGGACCTCTCGTTCATGGAAGGAATTGAGAGGGGAATTTGGCTTTGGCCCTAACTTTTATAGGTTTGACCTGAAAGCAAAGAGAGCGGAATACAGGTAGCAGTAGAAATATTGGTTTGTAGTAGCCACTCGATGGGGGGATTTGGATGTTAAGTGATCAGGACTAAACACATCAAGTTTTGAAAATTGCCATGAACTGGCAGATAGAAATTTTAGTGGACCCACCGTCAATTGATTTGAACATTGGAGGATTTTGTGAGGGAAGGTTGATCTGTCAAAATGATCGAATCTCATTCATCAATAATAAAACACGCTTTAACTTTGAATACATTCAGAGTCCAAGTGTGGATTTTTTATTCATTACTTTCATAGCAACTGGGTTATCCCTAAGAATACCACATGCAATATTCTTCTGGAAACTTCCCGATACATTGGTTATCCTGAATATACTAAGGGAAGTATTTTTTTCAGGAACATACTGTTTATCGGCATCATAAGCCGGTCGCCTTCTTTAGTAATAAGACGATATGCGCCACTCGAGTAGACCGTCTCTACTACGAACGGCCCTTCTCATTTGGGTTCAAATTTGCCTTTCTTCTTAGAATTAAGGATTATGGGCCGTCGTTCGGTTAAGACTAAATCTCCTTCTTTAAAACTCTGTTGCCGAACCTTTTTATCAAAAGCTCGGGAAATTCTGGCTTGGTAGAACTCAATGTGCTGTTGAGCTTCTAAGTGCTTTTCATCGAGCATCTCGAGTTCTTCAAGACGTTTCTGATGTTGTTCTTCGGTCGTCATTTGGGTTGCGAGAGCGATTCAAAGAGATGGAATTTGAATTTCGAACAGAAGGACGGCTTCACACCCGTACACCAAAGAATACGGGGTTGCGCCAGTAGGCGTGCGAACTATGGTGCGGTAAGCCCATAGTACTTTGCCGAGTTTATCATCCCAATCTCGTTTGTTAGTCTTCACGAGTTTTGATAGAAGCTTGATGATAGTCTTATTAAAGGCTTCAGCTAATCCGTTTGCTGTGGGATTATAAGCTGTTGACGAGACGTCTTGAATTTTAAACTTCTCGCAAAATCTGATGAATGTATTACTGACAAACTGAGGACCGTTGTCATGCATGATTCGCCTTAGAACACCATATCGGTAGATAATGTGGTGCTTAATGAAAGCAATGACGTTGTTCGTCTTCACTTCTTTGAGCGGAATTGCTTCAGCCTATTTGGAGAAATAATCAGTAATTGCTAGAATGAATCGATCACCTTTAACTGACGGGGGATTTATAGGACCAACAATATCAATTCCCCAAGTCTCAAAAGGCCATGATGTAGCTGAAGGATGCAGATGCTCCGGGGGTTGGTTCATATAATTCGCGTGCACTTGACACGCGTGACACTTTCGGGCATATGCGACCGTGTCATTGATCATGGTGGGCTAGAAATATCCCATTCTTCTGATGCAATCATAAAGTTTGGGGCCCGGTTAGTGTGCGCCGCAAACTCCTTCGTGTGTCTCTTTAAGGACTTCTTCTGCTTCTTTAGTCGATAAACAATGTAGTAGTAACCCATCGTACCCCCTATGATATAGTGTTCGACTTTCTGTGTTGTAGTAGAATCTCGATGCTCTCCGTCAGATCGAATCTCTTTCCTTCGCATCTTCTGGTAAAATCCTGTGCAGGACGTAGTCTATGATAGGAAAACGTCAATCTCAGGGTTCGAACTCAACTTGAGTTGAATGTACTTCTTTAATATCTTCTTCTTTGTCATCTTCATCGTAGATTGGCACGAAGAGTTGGTGAGTTCTCACCGTAACGAATCGTTCCGTTTCGGGAGGCTGTGCCAGGGACACGACTAATGCTGCCAGCGCATCTGCGTACGCGTTTTGTAAGCGTGGAATATATTCAATGAAGAATCCTTCAAACGATTCTGCCATCTCAACGGCCACCTTATGGTATGGTATCAAGTCTTGATTTCTGACCTCATATTCTCCCTGAATTTGTTTAACTACTAGTTGAGAATAACCGAAAGCTTTGAGATACTCGACCCCCAGCTCTTTAGCAAAGCTGAATGCAATAAGCAGCGCATTATATTCGGCTACGTTGTTTGAGCACGGCTCAGTCAGCGAGTAGGCTCTAGGCATCACATGTTCCCGGGGAAACTAAGACAACTCCAACTCCGGAGGAAATCTTAGAACATCCAGGAGCACTTGCTACATTAGTTGCCCGAGAGGCACCGTCGAAATACAAACGCTACACCTGTTGATGGGAAGTTATGTTAGCTTCGTGGGTTTCATCTGGCAGATCGTCGTTTACCTCGGCGGTATCCGTAGTTGGTTTAGCTGCTAGGAGATCACAAATACCAAAAACTTGATGCGGCATAATTATGTACCAAAATTGCAAGTGCACAACCGTGTCAAGTTATAGTATTTAAGATATCGATCCCACGAGGAAGGTGATTTTATAGGAGAAAATATAAAATTGGTTCTTATTTTGTGTGCATGACAAATAGGAGTGATGAGTGAATGTGATTGTGAAGATGTGTGTGAATAGGTGCAAAGTGTAAGTGAGAGTGGATGTAAAAGAGAATGAGTATGATCAATAAGGTGAGAAGGAAAAATGAATAAAATCAAGAAACAAATAAAAAAAATCAAGAATGAAGAACAAAATTCTAGAATAAAAGAAAATGCAAGAAATTAAAGATGGTGGATTCAATTATAGATATGGGTAATCTACAATTCAACCCAATCTACAATTGAACCCACTTCTTAGAAAAGGGTGATTCCCTAGAGGGTTCTATCCTAAAGGCGAATCAAACAAAATAAAAATAAACAAAAAGAAAAACTAAACCCAAGAGGGTTCGAGCCTCAAGGTGAATAGTATAAGAAATTAAAATCTAACTACAAAATAAATTGCAAAATCTAAACTACAAAATAAAATTGCAAGAATTAAATGCAAAAAAATAAATCTATTCTATAAGCATGAAATAAATCTAAGGCAATAGGGTTCTAGCCTCTTGGCTATTTAATAAGAAAATAAAATCTGAACTACAAGCATAGAAATAAATCTACACTAATAAGCAATAAAAGAGAAAAAGAAAGAAATGCAAACCTTCCAAATAATTCTCCATCTTCATCTTCATCTTCATCATCCAACAAAGAGAAGAAGAGAAAAATTTAAAGTGGTAAAAAAATTATTATTATTAATTATAACAAAAAGTTACAAATTTGGAAGGCCTTTTCAATTAAGACTATCCGCCCTCTCCAAAAGAAGTTACAAAATTTTCGCACCTCTAACCCCTCACTCTCTACCCCTATTTATAGTAAACATCAGTGAATGAGAGCCATTGGATCAAACTTGAGCCCCAAGACAAGCAAAATCAGCCATTGACGCGCGCTACAGTAATCTGGTATCGATGCAGGCATCGATGCAGGTATCGATGCCAGCATCGATGCCCACATCGATACCCACTATTTCCAAATTCTGATTTCACGGATAGCTTCGTCTCGTCGAGATAGGCGATTTTCATATATTATATGTTAAATTCCGCCTTCCGGATTAGGAGATATCGTCGTTTCTTTGTGGCCAACCATTTTGAATATGATTTCTTTTCATATTGGATTTTTGACTTTCTCCGGCTTCTACAGGCTACTCGGCTTGATTCTGGGCTTTTGGATAATTTGGAAACTGATTTTCCAATGGGCTTCTTTGATTCATTTCTTCATTTAATCGATGGGTTTTTGTTGAGAGATGAGAGTTTGAGATTTATTCTT